TCCTATCCCACCTAAGGCAAGAGAAGTACATTTTCAGATAATAAACAATATTTATATTTATCGTTGTGGTATTTTTTAACTCCACGTTTAATATTTGGGGATAATAACTGTGCTTTTCAGAGTTTGAAACAAAGGAAAATCTTTTCTTTTCTTGCATTAAATACTTTGGGATGATTTTGTAATGGGGTGGGGGTGTAAATTTAAAGAGACCCATTTTGTTTCATAAAGTAGTTAAATTTGGTGTAATAATGGAGGACAAAACAAATGAGTTTCTCATAAAGAAAGTCTTTATTTTGGTCCATTTTTTTGTAAATTTGCCAAAACTAAACCATTGTTTACTGTGTTTCTTAATGATGTGGCTTTGCTAAGGGATTCTTTGAAACTAAGCAGCTCACTAAAAGCACAATGTCTTTATAATAGTTTAAGGTTTTTTTTGTATTGCTCCAGTTGATATTTAGATTTTAATGTATATTTTTCTGTTTTAACTGTACTCATGTGACATAGTTTTGCTCTTTCAATATTTTGTTAAATATTTCTGCTCATTCTTTATTCACTTGTAAATAGGCCTGTGATGTTTGTATGTGTTAAATAAAAATAATAAACAAAACAAACGAAAAAAAATTCATCAGCGCTTTAATTTTGAAAGGTCGACCCGGAAGTGATACTAGACTTCCGCTGTGAGCAGCTGATTAGCTGCTGAGATCGTTGTAGCTTTATTGCTACATTAGCTTGTGTTTTGGGTCAGTGTGTGGATGTTAAACGAGTAAAAGTTTGTTTTAGCTCCAGCGGGAGGAGAATTTATCCTAAACAAAGGCCGCCGTCTGATCGTTTAACCCGGGTCAACGTTTCTGTCTTCGGCCGGGAGAGTTCCGCTTCTCCGGTGAACTCCGGTGAGCTGAGCCGAGCTGTCAGTAGGTGGGTGTCCGTCACTGTCTGTCTGTCTACATGTTTGTGTCAGTGACACACAGACACACACACCTGTGTTTCCACCGTGAACCTCAGCGGCTTCAGGTAGGAACCTGTCAGCAGGTCATGTGACCTGTTGGCTCCTTCTTCTCTGACTTGTAGAGATCTGAAGACATTCACCAAGTTAACTTGTACTAGAGTTGTGTTTTTGTGTAATTGTGTTCAGTACATGAGGTCTGTCGTCTCCCACCCACACATTAAGAGAGGATCACGTGTCGTGTTCACGTGAAAGCCCGACTCAGAACCTGGTGGTCTCTGAGACAGTACCCATCATTTACACACAACATTATTTGATTTCTTGCTGATTTTGCAAGTTTGCCCACTGACAGACATGATCAGTCTATAATTTTAAGTGTAGGTTAATTTTAACACTGATATAGAATATAAAAAAAATCCAGAAAATTACATTGTATAAATTATATACATTTATTAACATTTTCAGAGAGAAATAAGTATTTGATCTCCAAACAACCATTAAATCGATCCATGATTAGTTGTAACATTAGAGTTTATTTAATAAGCATGTATTTTAACTGTAAAATAAAGACTGTAAAAATACTGTAGGCTGTTTAGTTTTTATCTTTTTTAACTAAA